ACAAAGAGATATTTTAAAACAAAAGTAATCAGCATCTTGTCTTAAATATCTGGCGGCCACCATTCAGAAATCGAAGTCAACGCCGGAAAAAGTCAAACAAGACCCCTCTTTTCAGACAATCAGGCCCCCAGTGACAGGGAACCTCCTCAGTTCAATCAGGCCCCAGTTACAGGGAACCTCCTCAGTTGCACAGGCCCCTCCCCAGGCCCAGTGATAGGGAATTTCCTCCGTTCCCTAGGCCCAATGAGAGGGAACCTCCTGAATTCAAAGAGTTACCAGCGATAGGTAACCTCCTCAGTTCAATCAGGCCAGATCAAAAAAATTTCTAATATTACGAATTTCCTGGGTTTTCCTAATTCCCTGAGCCTCTTCTTGGAGATAACTTGAACTCATTCCAAAAATTCAATTTTTTTTTTACTCGTGCTATAACTGAAATGTTCATTCTCGTATTTGATATCCAAAATGAAGTCAGACCAGTACCAAAAAAATTGGTGTTTCTACAACAAAAACAGTGCTAGATTTTTGTACGTTTCTGTAAAATTGTGAATCATTGGGGTACCAAGGTAGCACTAACTAAAAAAAACAGGTTTCGCAATAAAAAAAATGATAGCCAACACCCGTTAGCGAAAAAATTTTAACCCAAAAACTCACGCTTTAAGATTTCAAAGGCCCCAGTAATTTCCGTAACGTTAATTCTAACCCACAACTAAAAAGGTCTCAATAAGCACATCTTAGCTAAGTTTCTCAAATATTTTAGGAAAAAATTTCACCAAATACTCTTAAACCATAATTCAAAGCGCTCATGACTACGTGACCTGTAGCTCATTTTACTTTCTTAAGCATCGGGTTAACCCGATGGATGCTTGAACTCAGCAAAAAAGTAAACTTAACTTGAAATAATACTCTTGAGAAAACTCATGAAGCTTAAATAACGGAAATACTTAGCGATCGCTACCATCCGAGCTCGTAAAATGGTAACCCACCTTGTCTACTGAACAATTAATCTTAAAACTATCTCATTCAATGGCTCCAACGAAGCCAAGCTTACAACAACAGCTTTACTAACGGAGAATCCGCTACAGTACCTTCGAGGAGCTTGAGGAAGAGGTAACGAGGCAAACAGCCACCTCAAGCGAAATCGAATACGTTAAGCTTAGTTAAGAGAAGGTAACCACTTGTTTCGCCCTTCTCGATAAACTAGCAGGCAACTTACTACGAACAACTGCATAACGGCAATTAGAAACAGGTGGTTAGAGACACTCCTAAGCATTTAATCTCTGACAGCGCTATTTCGGCGGCGCCTGTAAGCAACTACGCTCAGAACCAACTAACTTCAATAAAACCACCCTCAAACGCTACAAATAAAAGTCGAATGGCGCATAAATCCAACGTCAGCCCCTTCTTCGGCGTGTGGGAGCGACTCGTCCCAATGATAGAAAGAGCGTTCTTACTAAATCTCGGTTCTGGTCGACTATCAAGATCTATTTGCTACTATCGTAACCGAGACTGAGGCAACCCTCAACTCACGTCCGCTAACGCATAGCAGTATTGGCCTTGACTACGACCTTCCACTGACACCCCACTACTTCCTAATGGGTCATCCAATCGTCTACACTCCGGTAGCAGTTTTCTACGAAGCAACTACCATAAAACTGTCAAACAAGTCCTGGAAGCGAGCAAAACATGGACTTCACAGCTTCTCGAGGCGTTTGCTTAAAGAGTACGCTCCGACTCTCACCAGAAGGATTACACGGATGCAACCAGAGGAACCATTGGAAAACAATGACCTCGTGTGGATACTTGAAGACTTTACAACACGAGGCATCTGGCCACTGGATCGAGTTCTATAAGTTTTTACCGGCTCGGATGGCATCGCGCGCTTGTTTAAACTGAAAGGAGCCATAGGTACTTTAACGAGACCAGTGGTAAAACTTGCCCTTGTATCTCCAACAAAGGAGATTTAAGACCACTCTAATTGCACTACAAAAAAACTGGGCTCAACCCCTTCCCATTCGGTTCTAACTAAGACCTCCCTCTCCCGAGCCAGGATATTCATGACATGAATGTGTCTCACGTTAGTTCTCGCAAAACGCTGTGAAATCATTTAATAATGTCATGATTTGTTGCAAACTAATAAGTAATATTTTTGACTTATGTGAACAACAAAGAGACAATTTATGACAAGTAATGAGCAGTTTGTCTTAAATAGATTATTTGACATTTGGGACAAGTTGGAGTAACCAGAAGATCCCCATAATCGCCATATTTGAAGAGAGTGCTGGCTTGTCGCTGTGCTAGCATTGATAGCTGAAATCTGATGCGTCCCAAGCTGTACACCTTCAGTTTCATAATCATTGGAAAAAGAATATCAGTGTTACTGAGGCTCCTTTTGAACAACTTCTTCTTTAGTCTCAAATTGAAAGATCGATTCATCGGTATTGTTCTCTTCACAGTCACTTTCATCCAAAGGTTAATTGTTGAGGCATGGTTCATTCTAATCTCCATATTCGGCAATCGACTGAAAGGCATCAGAGTTTGACCGTCTTGAGGCCTTCTTTCTTGACAATCAGTTGTCCCGTTTAATAGACCATTCGCCAATCTGAGCGCTGATATCATCGTATCTGGATCTTAACTTGCAAATGTATCGAACAAAAACCACGGAAGAAACCTGATCCAATTATGGGCGCCGGGACTCTCCATCTGCCCTCAGAGAAAAACACAACATCACCCGTAGAAGAACTTAATGAGTCAAAGCTCGTTTTATGCGGTCTTATGATTCAGCAGCAGAAATATATTTTCTGAATTTTAACAGGGCTGCTAGATGATAGATGTTTCTGTACTGCCTCCGAAACATAGGAAACATCATTCAGAGCTGGTAGCTCTCTGAATCTAACGCAGTTCGAAACCAATGTCGTTCGCGTACAGCAATTGTAAGGGTGAGAGGCGTCCATGATATGACGTATAACTTTTTTAGCATACAGAATTTTTGTTCGACTTGGTCGTCTGCGATTCCATCAGTAAAATTTTCAAAATATTTTGATAATCACTTTGCTAAGCCGGTAACAAATGCCATTCGATAAAGGACTTTAGGTAGTTGTGCTAACGAGTTTAATTCCAAAATTTTTATCTTTTTCTCGACAAATCTTACTATCTAATTGTGTTGTGTGTTAGGTGCTTTTTGGAGAATAACATAGCCAACTGACAGTTGGAAAACAGCAATGAACGCAAGTAAGCAGAAAAAAAACACTGACTTTGTTGAAAAAGTCAACTTTCGAATTTCAAAGAGAAAAATAGATGCCCTTTAAGCGCTTTGGAATTCCAAAACAATTTATGATTGGCGCTTTTTAGATAACATGTACCCAAGTTGAGAAAACTGAATCAAAAGGTAAAGTTTTTATTCCGCTGGGAAAACTTAAAACTAAATTCTATATTCGAAAATAAAAGTCGATCACGTTTTTTGTGACCTTTATACTTTCGCTGTTCGCTAGTGGAGTTTGCCTTCCTTTTAACAAAGAAAATGGCCTGAACTTAAAAGAAAATATAATTCAAACAGCGAAAAAGTAAACTTGAGCCCGAACAAGTTTTACGACTTTTCCTGAAAAAAAAAAACAGCGAAGAAAAATCATTGCGACCTATATAAGAGTCTGAACTATGGTAATCGACTCTTAATAAACTATGCCGGTTTGTGAGAACCTGGTGAAAAAAACTATACCGTGAATATAAAAGTTTCCGTTCCAACTGAGGCAAATCAATGGCCATAAAATCATTAAACTTCTGACATATCTGGAGTTCAACAACAGGACCAGTAACCAAACTGCTTTTGCAACTTCAAAATTGCATCAGCGTCCTAAGCCACTATTTTAAATATCAGTCTTAAAGAAAACGCCTGTCTGAGGTACTATTTTTAAAGCAAGTTGATCATATTTTGTTACACAGAGGCGACGCTGCGCTTCGCAAACACTTGCGAGACACCAAAAATCAGCTCTATCAAGTGAAATAAAAAATAGAACATGTCGGACGCGACCTATCAAACTTGAATCTGACACACCAACTACTCAGCCACGGATGCTTAAAACCACCAAAAACTAGCCACCAATAACGCAGCTACATATGCTAATAAAATGCCAACTCAATGCAGCAAAGGTAGCATCAAATACAAAAAGACACAATTTTGCATGTAATAAATTGGGAAGTTTAGGGCCAAATTATGTTTAAATTATTCATTTGAAAAAAAATGCGACTTTCATGGAGTTGGAAAATTTCTGAAGTCGAGCTTTTTATCATTGTATGACGTTCGAAACAAATAACTTTTTTCGGTTGACTAAATGAATTAAAAATGCACCAGCTGTGTTAACTTTTTAAAAATCAAATTTGAAAGCACATGTTTGATTTAGTGCGCAATTTACCGATTGAAAAGTGCCACCAAAAGTCATCGTAACTAGGAAAAGATAAGCTTGAAACGTACTTTCTGGTAACAATTATAGGTTAGCATATCACTTTCACGTTTATTGTGCCGACCATTGACAATGGGGAGGAACTTTGTAATCGGATTTGTTTGTTTTTTTTCCACGCAAAATCAAGTACCACAATTAAGCATCGGCTTGGGTCGAATGAGATATCATATTTAGGCTCTTTCAGTCATGATTCGAATGACATTTACAAATTTCCAAAACATATTCCCTGTGTCGAGAGAAACCGGTTTAAAATTTTGGATTCTTAGCTTCGAGCGAGTGAAGCGAGCGAATGCTTATTTATGCTTAATTTAAGCCGTTTCCAATAGCTTATTTACGCTTTACATTATTTATTACTCTAGTAAAATTAGTTTTTGGTGTTTCTAACGCCATTTTGGGAATCTAAAACTTCGAAAAAAATCAGCAAAATTTTTTTTTTCATTTTTCTATGAATTATAGATCAGAAAACTACTTCGTTACTTTATCGCCTTTATCAATTATTCTGGTGAAAGGGAATCCAAATCATGAATATGGTGGTAACTGACTGACCTTTAGTATTTCGTATCTGTATGCGATGTGGTCGTGTGGCACTGGAATGTAGCAGCCACTCTCGTCGTCGTAGCCACTGTTGTTCCCACTCCCCACAGCCCCCTGTCTCTTCTTGGCATTGTGACCACAGAAGTAGACCTGCAAAAATAACAGAAACTAACTAGTCACTTTATCAAGCTAATATCTGAAAAATCATTATAAAACGAATTGGATTTTTTCCATTATAGCTGCCAAATAACAGACTTTCTGAACTGACTTTACTTATATTGGTAAACCCAAATACTTCTAGTACTTTTTCTCTTCAGTCAAGTCGTTTATTTTACTGAGTCAAATCAGCCCAAAAAAAACCACACAATCCGGTCTAACACTTCGCCAGGATTAGTAAAACAAAGCATCGAGACGCATACCCAATTGAACAAAAGAAACATTCAATCTAAGAAAGAATCGTCTAGAGATACGGATGTATTGCAAATGACAGACTTCAGAAAATAGGAAAATAATCAAAAATGATAATATTCGAATGTAGCTTAGAAGTAAAAGACATCTATGCTTGGCTTGAGCATTTAAAACTTCAATTGGTCGTTCTAACTTATAGTTTTCATTCATAATTTTATTAGTTTTCTTTCAAATGTCTTCAGTTCGGAAGTGTTTTGTTTTTCAATAGTCTGATTTAACAGATTTTATAAGCAATACAGAACTCACTTTTGGGAACTGGAATATTTCGTGGTGTTCGAAGGCACTCAACTTCTGCATGTACTGGGTCATGGCCTGTTCTGGGGTCATACCTGCAACAATACATGGGTTGCTTTTCAATCAAGATATATGATCTGAATTCTCGGAAAATGTTCCCAACTTCAATCGAAAAAACGATGACAATTTTACTGCCAGATTATTCCAATCCCAAATTTGAATAAACACAAAATTCAGACAGAATATACAACTAGTGTTTCGAGGCCGCGTAAAAAAACAGGAAAAATCATTTGTTCGTTTCCGATAAATAAAAGACTAGTATTTTCAGGCATTCCTTAGTTCAAAACATTTCACTTTCGTGCATGCTTGCGTGAACTTAATTACAGTTGGGTATCGAAGTCTAAAACACAGACGATATTCCAGGAAGTTTTTTCAACGATAGCAAATCAAAATGAAATTTCATGCATCGGCTCTTGTTACCCTGCTTACTACCACTATTAATTTACAATTTCAACTATATAACCAGGGTGGGAGTTTTAAACGTTTTTTATCCAATTATACATTAAAACATGTTTTTTACGAAAAAAAACACTCTTTATGTCTTTTATGTTTTTTTCGCGGCTACGTTTTTTTTGTTGATTGGCTGTAAAAAAATTATTTCGCGAACACTGAATTCAACAGTTAAATTGTTTGTACAAGAAAGTCATTTTCCCCGCTTTTTCGACGTCAAGTTGATTTCTCAAAGATCCGTAAGTCATCCCAAGCACTTTAGCACTATTGCGTCATTAGCCGAAAAACGGCTTTAAATGTGTATTTCGATCAAATTGTTTTAAACGTGTTTTTTTCCCGCTGTTTTAAACAGTTTTTTAACCCTGTGTTTTAAACTGTTTAAAACAAAGTCCCCCACCCTGTATATAACACTTTCGATCATCTGGTACCGCTAATATGGTATACAAAAAATTTGCACAGACACTCATTCCTTATGTTTCCTTCCATCACATTAATCACCCACCCCACCCCCCCCCCCCCCCGACAATTGTTTTTACAAGTAATGTTTGTTCACATTGTCTGATTGTTACAGAAAATTAACATTAGCACGTGGACTAGCTAGGCCATGAAAAACATATTTGGTCTTCATACCTTGTACGACCACTCGTTACACCATGAAATTGATGCTCATGTGAAGTATGGGGGGTGGAGAGAGTGACAAAAGAGATGATTCTGATATGGATAAGTAAAAAGAAGTAGAAGAGCCCATGTATTATTTACTGTACTACTCGCCTGACGAGAGTGCCCCACCCACAGGCGGCAGTCCCCTGTCCCTCAACAGTCTATTAGAAGATGAACTGCCTGCTCCAAAATTACTCTGTCGCCTGCTGTTCTCAACTGCTGTCCCTGTGGTGTCTTTTGTCCTGCTAGTATCTGTCGTCTGCTGGTTAGAATTAATTTGAGCTGAAAACCAAAAAAACTGTAACATGAAAAGCCGGTTGCTGTGCAAGCAGCACAGAAAGTTCCGACCACATTAGTTAAAAAAAACATTTGTTAATTTTTTCTGCGGTGTGAGGAGAAGAATTGGACCTGAGCATGAAACATTAGAAGAAAATTAAAAATATATTTTTTCAATTTTTTATTACTATTATTTGCTAAGGAAGCGCTGCATAAGGATTCAAATATAGCCAACCCAGTTGTAAAAGAGTCAAAGTATTCAGAAAAAAACACTGACTTGTTTTTTGAGAAAGTCTCTTTTTTCGAATTTCCATGAAAAAAATACATGGCCCTAACTGGATCAATGGGTGAAATTATTATTTCGCTGCGAAATGTGATAATTGAAATCCATTTTCGAAGTTGGACGTCGACCACGTTTTTCGTAACCTTCACACTTTCGCGGTTTGATAGTGGAGTTTGCCTTCCTTTCCACTAAGGAAAACACAGAACTTAAAAAGAAATGAAAAGAAAACAGAGAAAAAGCAAATTCGAGCCTGAACAAACTTTCAGAATTTTTTCGGAGAAAAAAGAATATCATCACGACCTATATAATATTCTGAACTACGTTCATCGACTCTTAAGAACCAGGATTTAAAGTAAGTTTCTTTACGATATTATTAAATTTGTTGTACTTTTTATACACCACAGTTTACTCCCTCGAAATTTTAAAACGGTTTTTCTCGACGCTGAGAAAGTTAACGTAGCTTTTTTAAATTTAGTTGTCGAGTCACAAGTGAAAAGGCTGTAATATATACCAATCGAGCCATTCATATTATCAGATTATTTTTGTAACTTGATTTTTACTTCGAAAAACAGTACAAAAAACTCAAAAATCCGAAGTGAAAGTTGATCCTCACTTTCGGTCGTCGGAACAAAAAAATTGCCAACAGACAGTTGAAAACGAGTCATGAACGCACGAAAAAATAAAACTGCAACTTTTCAAGTTAAAAGAAGAAAATATATGGCCTTCAAGCTCTTTGAACTTCAAAAACAATTTCTGACGCATTTTTAATAAAATTATCCCAATTTGAGAAAATTGGATCAGTAGGTATAATTTTTATTCCGCAGAGAAATCTTAAAATTAAATACTATGTTCAAAACTAGAGGTCGATCACGTTTTTTATGACCTTTACAATTTTTCTGTTCGATAAGGGCGTTTTCCTTCCCTTTAACGAAGGAATGCACTGAACGTACAGAGAAATCAAAAGTCAAACCGCACAAAATCAATATTGCGCTTAAATAATAACGTAAATTCAAAAAAAAAATATATATATATCAGTTTCACATTTTGAAGGAAATAAACGGAAATCCGTAAATCTCAAAAAATAGCAATGCTTATTTACCTGTTTGATGGTTCTAATGAAAAATATCACGTAACACTCCTTAGAAAAAAGATTCAACATCACATTTTCATAGATTATTCACGAGCAAACAACCAACTATCTCAAAAACAACATAGATTGAATTTAGTTTCCCATGTGCCATTGCAAAGAAAACGCGCATATAAATGCATTTTAGAGCTATCATTTCAGATATAAAAGTATGAGCAACTTCATTCAAACAAAGATATTGCCCAAATATTTCTGTAATATGACTAATCAAACTTCTTTTTTTCCCGCGGATGCTCAAAATTATCTAGTTTTTATTCTTTGTTTTCGGTCAACGAAAAACAAGTTAACAAGCTCAAACCTTATAAAAAACCTATAGCTATAAAACCTATAACTACAACATTTGAGAAAACACTCTAAAAACCCTGTTTGGCCACAGAACTTCAGAGCTGGTCGTACAAAACAAGTGCCGTAAATAGTATTAAATGGGCACTCTTTGTTTGCTGCTCAGTGGGTTCAATCCCTGATGGCCAATCACTTCCACTGTTCACATACACACTGATTCCAATCAACAAACAATCAACTAGAAGTTCTATTGACAAACCGAAGTTACGATTACACAAAAACCAACAAGAAATTCGGATAACTGGTAACAATAGCTATTAAAAACTTTGAAACTAACATGCATCTTTTGCAATGGGTGGAAGCACTGTCGTACTACTATTGTTATTATTCTCGTCTTTCTTGTTTGTTTGATTCAAGTTTCGTCTGCTGTGACTGGTGGATAGGTTGCTCTTCACTTCCGACACTGAGCCCCTGCCCCCTCCCCCCTGCTGGGAATTGGAGGAGACACCACCACCACCCACCGGCATTGAGGCTATCAGGCCTGTGTTGGCCTTCACCTGAAGAAAGACAATGCTATCAAGTGATCAAATTAATATGTATGAACGCACATCTGTAGTTATTGGAGCATTTAAAGACTTTATAAGAACATTTTAAGACAAAAAAATCATCAAAACCTATATAGTATAGTCTTCACTACGTTCATTACTTTCAATAAAAGCAAAACAAATTGCGCGAACAAAAGTAGTTTAAAACGTGAAAAACAACAGTAGAAATATAAAATTATACCACCTAAAAACATTTCAAAATAGCAAGAGAAAAATTCAAAAAAAAATCGAACTAGAAAACGAGGGAATTTCAGAAAAACCTCACTTGATCGTATATTAAAATCTTTAAAAATCTTATATTATAAAATCTTATATTATGATCTTATAAAAATCTTCTATTACAAAAAGAGGGGAGAAAAGTCGTTAATTGGGAAGACGTGTACTGGAAGTGCCCTGGACATATTTACCTGGACAGCCGCCGTCTTGTCCTGACCCTTTCCTGTCGCTCCTGCACTTCTCAGAGGTCCCAACTGTCCCTGTGCTAATCTGGAATTACTTCCCACGTCGCCCAACGGGCCAGGTGAGTCCGGTCTCTGGATGATGAACCCCTAATTATTACGAAAACATTTAGAAAAAATGAAACAGGTTTTCAGGTACTCGTATTTCTTTAATATGACTTCTTTAGTGCTTCTTTATTATACTTCTTCAATATATGCTGAAAAATATCTCGATTATTAAACAAATTATTGTCATCGATACACTTCTTTGTGAACTAAATATGAGGGCAGCTACATTTTGGGGACAGTTTAATAATTAACGTCTGATTTTACATGTTCATGTAACACATTTGGCTGACATTAGCTGTTTAAGTCATCACTGAATAACAGAAGTTCTAAAAATAATGCAATCCAGCCCAAATACATTGTGCCTACCTGAAACCCTGGGGAATTTTGGAATCCCTGCTGAGCAAGTGAGTCTTGCGAGTTCAAATTAGTTCTGCTGTTTAAACTCTGTCCAATTGAGTTGTACTTCTGCACACTGATACTACTATTATTGTAGTTTTTATTGTTGTGGCTGATGTTCGCTTGTAATTTATGGCGACTCACTGCTGGAGAGGAGCTACTATGTAGGTTAGGGTTCGAAGCTGAAACAAATCAGAATTTTTTTTATAACTTTCCACCATTTGAAATTTTAGTTGAAAAAATAGCCTGTGCGTCATAATTTGTCTCGTCTCGATAGCTAATTTCTCCTAAAAATACAAAATCCGCTAAAAAAGTATCGGAAGGGCAGGAAGATATTAGACCGAATTGACATGATTTATTTTTCAATTATCCTCAACGACCAATCGGTTATTTTCGATAGAAAAGTTTTATTGCGAATTGCAAAGGATATTAATAGGCAACCAAACTTGAGACAATTAGAGTTTTCTCAATTATCGGAAAAGTCTAGATCGAAAACAAACTGAAAATGTTGGTGCTTTATTACAAGTACAAACCAGCTACCATATGAGCAGTTACATAATATTTTTGCGAAATTTATTTAAGAATTACTAAAAGCATGCAAACTTCAATGTAAATGGCGTACATTTCCTTTACTATTTTAAACTTCGGCTGGTCTAAAATACTATCAATAGAACTAAGCTTTCGACCAGAATTATACATTACAACTCTTAAATACCTTTCCTGTTAATTGCAGAGAATACTAAAGCCCAAGCCAAATCGTTACAGCAAGCTAATTCTTAACAGACAAATCTGTTCTATCATAAAATCGAGATTGAAAACGATAAAATGGTATCAATCGAAATAAAAATTTGCACCTGAATTGTAAATGGCTACTCTGGAAGAAGCGTTAGTCTGGGCTGTGTCTGGTTTGGCCCCTGGAAACACTACTGGAAGCGCCTCTCTCGAATGTAGTCTGCTGGAGTTTACAACGGATGGAATCTGGCTGAGACTGGAATTGAGTTTTTTGGCCGCCTGCTGATTTTGATGATGTAGAATTGTGAACTTGACTTCTAAAAAAAATTCAAAAATTTTCCAAATGCGTTAATAACTACGCTTTGAATGTCCAAACTACTAGTGGATTAAAACTTGAATCGAAGAAAAACAAAGTGTGAAAGTTTTGTAGCCGGATGAAATTAAGTTTCTTTAAGCTTATTTTTCCGCGCAAATTCAGAAGTCCAAAAATCGATCAACAAATCAGGTAGTTGACATTTCCGAGAATCATAGCTTTTGTTTGTAAAAAATAATACGTAGCCGCTCAAATAGAAGAGATTCGACCAACCTGTAGTTTCTATTGAACCCAAAACCCAGGTTGGAAGGGTAGTTCTCGATAAAAGTCACCAAGTTTCTTACAACTGTCAAAAATCAAAATTTTGACTCTTCCGAGGGCCATAAATTTTTGTGCTAAAAAATTGGGCGATGACGCGTATACAAAGGAGCTTCCAACAACCTGTTCGGTGGATTGAAACCACAATCTCAAATATTGGAGTGTATTTTCTCCTCTGACTATTCAGAGGGCCTTACTTTTAAGTGAGGAAAAAATTGGGCGTAGCCACTTAAAGAGGGGAGTTTTTCAAATCCATTCTATTCCTTGAAACCAAAAACTCAGATTCCGTAGGTAAGTTTTCGAGAGAACTTGCCTACTTACCGGTCAAATATTCCTCCCACAGACTTTTTCGAAGGTTGCATAGAAGCATTGGTCAAATATTCGACCCACAGACTTTTTCGAAGGCCTTATAGAGATGTATAGAAGCAAACAAGAAAATCGGCGCTCTTTCTATGGATAGCTTTTTTTTGAAACTCGGTTAAAGGGTTTTTGAGAAAAACTAAATTTTTTGCCAAAAAAATAACTTTCCGAAGCGTCTCAAAAAGAAAATAAAAAACCCAATCCCATACACTTTCATAACACCTGTTCTAATCAAACTGGAATTCTGATCAAACATTCCAAGCAATACAATTGAAACTCAAATTAGCAACAGAACAAATTTTACGAAGCGGAAACAAGGCCGACAATATTTGAGCAGACACCAGTTGAGCCAAAAACAAAAACTGGTTTTGTAAAAAAAAATTCGAAGGTTTTAACTCCCCCTGAAATTAGGCTGTAGTAACTAGTACCCAGCAAAAAATACATTTGAATTTTGATGATACTAAGTATGTCAGCTGTATAGTCACTCAAATGATTTAGTTAAACTAGTTGTTAACGTGAAAAAAGTCTCCTTTACGATTTGATAACGCTTGCTAACCGCAAGCGTAATCAAAGAGCGAAGTAAATTATCAAAAACTATCACAAGAATAAACACAGAGGCAAAGCTGCGCTTCGCAAACACTAGCGAGAACACGACAAGTAGCTCTAGATGAAAAAAGTAAAAATAAGCCTCGAATTAGTGAGAATTCGGCGACGTCTCGGACTCGAACCAACGACCTACTCCGACCTAGAAAAATTTAGTCTCACGCACTAACCACTCAGCCACGGACGCTTAGTTCATCACAAACACTAGCCATAAATAAAGCCGAGAACAGATGCTATGAAATTTCCAATGATATAGATCGTGATTATAGCAAAAAGGCACAGAAGTGAACGGGTTAAAAAAGTTAAGTTAGAAGAAAAGAAGCTTGCTACTAAAACACTAGCTGCTCGCTAGCGTAAACAAGAAACAATATCTAACGGTTTTGAGTTTAAAATGTTTTACGAAGTTGAAACCATTAGTAAAAAAAAATTGTGTTTCAAAACATCGCTTTCGCTATAGATGACGCTCTTAAAACTGACTAGCGTTTAACGCACCTCCGGTACTCAAAATAAACCGCATATATTGAAAAAAAGATCTGCATTCTTTGAGTGTACTCTGACAGCACCCAATTACAAGGTTCGTAATTACAAAGTTCGTATTTTGCAAAGTTCTTTATTCAAGTTTTTCATACAAAGTTTGAAGAACAATAATATTTTGTGAAGTTTTTTTAAGTTCTTCGAAAAATTTAAAGTGAACTAAGAAACGTCACATCTTGGAAAAGGCAATTGAGCCGTCGCATTTGGACGTAAAAATTGCAAATTTTGAGAGTACTCTTATAGTACCCAACTACAACGTTGGGAAATTCAAACTTTGAGAAACTTCACCTTAAGTTTTCTAAAAAAAGGGATTTTTTGAGAACCAGAAAAAATTTCACATCTCGAAAACTACCAAGATTTCAGTAGTCTTATTTGATGGCAATAATCGCAATCTTTGAAAGTACTCTAACAGCACACAACTACAGGTTGGGGAATTTCACTTTGGTGAATTATTTTTAGTAATTTGAGTTTTCTGAAAATTTCTAAAAAAAAATCTCAAAAATCGTCTTAACTCTTAAAACTACTGTGCATTCTTATTTGGAGGCCGAATTTGCAACCCCTGGGATTACTGACTGCCCCCAACTACACGTTAGGAATTTCATACTTTGAAAAAAATATATATTTTAATTTTCATGAAAATTTTTTGAAAAATTCACAAAAAACGTCATATCTGGAAAACTTTAAGGGTTTGAGCAGCCATAGTTGGAGGCAAAATTTGCAACCCCTGAGAGTACCCTGACAAAGCCTCACTACATAGATAGTATTTTCAAGTTTTGTGAATTTTTTTATATCTAAGTTCTCTGAAAAAATTTGAGAGAATCCTAAAAACCGTCATATCTCGAAAACTACAAATAAATGAGGAGCCATATTCAGTGGCAAGATTCGCAACTCGCTGAGAGTACCCTCACAGATTCCAATAACAGGATTGAGATCTTCGACGTTTTTGAATTTTTTAACATCTAAGTTTTTTTGAAAATTTCGGAGAAAATGATAAAAAACGTCGTATCTCGAAAACTACAAAGATTAGACCAGTCATATTTGGAGGCAAAATTCGCAACTCCTGAGAGTACTATGACAGAGCCTCGCCACAGCGATGCGAATATGAAGTTTTGTGAAATTTTTTATATCTAACTTTTCTGAAAAATTTTGAAAAAATCCTAAAAAACGTCATATCTCGAAAACTACATAGATTTGAGCAGCCATAATTAGAGGCAAGATTCACAACCTCTAAGAGTATTCTCACAGTATCCCACAACAGGAATGAGATCTTCAACGTTTTGGAATTTGTTAAAGTCTTAGTTTTTGAAATCATAAAAAAACGTCATATCTCGAAAACTACAACGATTTGAGAAGTGAGATTTGGAGGCAAGATTGCCAACCCCTGAGAATCCAGTATGCCACAACAGGAATGAGATACAGGGTGAGAATTTCAAAAAATGAGAAATTTTTCTTAATTAAATTTTCTAGAAATTTTTGAGAAATCTTGAAAACTGCCTATCTCGTAAACTAAAAGCATTTGGTTATTCATATATGGAGGCCAGAATCGCAAAACCTGGGAAAACTCTGTCAATATCCTACTACTGGGTTGCTGATTTTAAACTTGATGAAATGAATACTGAATTTAAACTGGAAATGCGTAAAAAAACTTAGCCATTGCAATATACGATATAGCTTAAGCGTGAAAAAATTCTTTTGTTAAACATGCAAAAAAAATACATTGAAAAAGCTTAAACATGGCGAGATAGTGAAGCCCGTATATAAATATATAATAGATAGATGAAAGCAAAAAAATTATGAGACGGGTAGATAGACAGTCTTAATTTGGCCTCGCAAAACAATTACTGAAAATTGATGACCTTGCGGAAAACTAATTGAAAAATTTTCTTAAGCATTGCAATATATGATATAGCTGAAACATGAACAAACTCTTTCGTTAAACATACAAAATTATCATGCTTAAACATGGGAGAAAGTTGTCACTCGCATTTAAATATAGTATAGAAGGAACAGACCATTGTTGGTAACAATTTGCACCACACAACATGATATAGTAATTAGTTTAACTCAGATTACAACAGAGACGCCTTAAAGCAGATGGCGATATTTTCTAGGTTTTGGGGTTTTCAAGCATTATTGTTGCACCCGCAAGTGGAACAAAAACAGGCTTTGACATCCAACCTTGGGTTAAACTTTGTACAGGACTAGAAACACAAAACACTTCATATCTCAAAAACAACCAATATTTGAGATATCATAAGTAGACAAGATTCAAAAACCCTTAGAGTATTCTGACAGCCCCCAACTGTAGGGTTGAGAATTTCAAACCTTGTGAAATCTTTTAAATTAAAGTTTCTAGAAACTTTTGAAAAATCTCGAAAAGTCGTCGTATCTCGTAAACTAAAAAGATTCGGTTATTCATAATTGGAGGCAAAATGCACTAACTGGAGAAAACTGACAGCATCCCACTATTGGGTTGCTAATTGGAAAATAAGTGAAATAAACACTAAATTCAAACTGGAAAATTGAAAAGTCTTCACCAATGCAATAAACGATATAGCTTAAACGTGAAAAATTTCTTTTCTTAAAGATGAAAAAAACGTTGAAAAAACTTAAACATGGCGAGATCGTGAAACCCACATTTGTATACATATAATAGATAATATATATCATCACTCGACCCATTGCAATGATTTTTTTGGTACCAGATTTTGCGTTGAAAAAAAAATAAAATAAGAAAATACTAAAACACTCGAAGACAAAGTTCCTCCCCACCCCCACGTTCAGTGGTCGAAACAATAAAACCGAAAATCAAGACTCACAAACTCGCAGTTTCATCGAAAAAATTAGGAAGAGCATGCTAACCATTAAGTTCACCAGCATGCTAACACTTGAAAATCGAAGTAACCTGATTATGTTTTGGGGTGGCGGAGGTGCAGCTGTTCTCTCTATCGTCTGATGCAAACTGTTGTTGCTGCTCCTATTGCTGTTGCTGTAATGCGTCTGATTACGTAATGAGGCTGCAAGGGTAGATGATGGGGCTACTACTGATGGTTGAGTCTCCACTGACACTGGGAATTGATAGGATGGCGATATATCAGAAAAGGTTGTACAAATTTTTAAATAGTATTTTACGAAAATAACGTATTTAAAATTGCAAGTTACTCTTTTCACAAGCTTAAAGGTCAAATAAACATTTTTGAACTTGATCCCAAAACTTTAACTTTTGTGTAATATCGTGATTATTTTGATCTTCAACATATGATACGGAAAGGCTGTGCGTATTAGACTTCATTTAAAGCAATAAGGTATAATTTTACAGCAAAAACTGTAGTAATTCTGGTTTGCCTGACATGACTTAGATTTCCCATTCATTCAGACTTTGAAAATCATTGAAGGCAGTTACACAACCCCTTTTAGTCAAAATTTAGTACTAATATTTTTATTCATTATTTATATAAATAATTGTTCTGATATTTCACCGAAATGATGTGGTTGCAATGGAGCCCGTTGAGCAATGGCATCTACCGACATTTGCTATCTAGAGTCATCATAACCAACGCATAATAACCAGATTAGTTATAAATTGGCTACTCTTGCAAAGTAAATAATTCGAAAATAGATAGGAGAGCTGAATAACAGAAGATTATTGAAAATAGTTTGGATTTCAATATAAAAACCCCTGTACTATTATTGAACCTTTTGGCCAGGAAAAAAATTAACAATTTATCAAGATTTTGTTCGAAATACTGTCCTTTATTGCAAAATCCATTGGCGTCAAAATAAACACCGATAAAAATATCTTCAGAGAAACAGAAACTAAAACACTCAATACACAAATCAAATCAAACGCTCCAACTCATCTGCAATAAGACTTAATAATTAATTATGTCTTTACATAGGAAATAAACCAGTGATTTCACTGTGCGGCGAAGAAGCTTTTCCATTAGAAATCCGCTCCTGTTTTGAAAACGAACAAATCACAATAGTTCTCAAACGCATGTTACTTCTCTATTTCGGATGTTTCTAAAAAGCGGTTTTGAAACCAGCTGATTACAAGACGGATTTTGGTTTATGTTTCATTTTCACATCTACGCAAAAATTAAAATCAGAGAAAAGATTCAACTTGTTTGATAAAAAAGGAATAAAGCAAAAAATCCAAACTTAAGGACATAAACATCCTAATTCTGTAAAGTCCATAAGCATACAATAAAAGGACTACGGTAATGAGAGCAAAAAATTAATGACTTCTTTTGAAAGCAAAAACTAGACCAATTTCATGAACATAAAGACGTCGGAGAAAATGAAAAATTTGAAATAAGAAGGGGAAAAGGAGATGAGCCAAAATTAAGAAATGAATTTGAAATTTTGTTTCCAACTTTTTCATAATTTCGCAAAATTTCGGTTGTCAGTTTTTTTTCAGTAGAGTACAATTGAAGTAGGTGAAAATTTGCGAGAAAACTAAATAAAAATCCTAAATTGAAAAAAAATAGCCAACAGACAAGTGGAAAAGATTCAATGAACGCAATCAAAACAAAAATTATGACTTACTTAAAAAAAATTTGACTTTTTAAGAAAAAAAAAAGATTCCGATACTGATTTAAGATTCTTCATCGTCAGTTTTTAGTTCAAAACTAAAAATGAGCATTCAATGTTGCGAATATCTAAAACTTGTCATATTTTATCGCAACAAAAAAGGTAGAGTGACTTTTTTTTCAATTTACTCTCTGAAGGCAAATAAGCGGGTTGAAACGTCAGATAGCAATTCTCGCTGCAACTATACCTTTCTGGTGATTTCCAAAAATCAACAAAAGCAGCAGTCGAAGGAAAATTGCTACAGAAGATTGATTAAAAAAAATCAATGGCTAACTTAAATCCTAAATATGAGCAAAATTGCCTAACACCCGGAAGCCCTCGTTCATTTGGTCAAGAACATAACTGCATCTCAACCACTAGACAACCAAGGGCTTTTTCCTTTCCCTCCACTTTTTAAAATCATAATTGAGTATTCATTCTAATAAGCATCAACCTTGCAACTTATTTTCCAACAGGTGTTGTAAAAAAAACGTTAGTGATCGGAAAATGCACGTTTTCCTGCATGGAATGGAAAAATACTTTAAGAAAGTGCAAAATGAACATTATACAAGATGAAACTGACACTTTCAATTCTCAAATGCAGATAAATGATGTTTTAAAAGTGCAGCTGTAGTGAAACTAAATTCAACTGATAAGGAAGACCGATAGCGGTGTAAAAAAAGGAAACATCAACCCCAAATCAAAAGCGAGCCTGGTTTCATGGGGAACATCTATCATACAGCAAAACTTTTAATTTTCTTACTGTTGAACAAATGAGTAAACACCTGTTGCAGTTTGCCAAAAAAGAGTTATAAATATCTTTCCAAAAACGATCGTCGGTTGAAACAACTAATTTAGAGAGTTTTGAGCTCAAGCAAATTTGGCTTATTCTTTAAAAATTGGCTGAGTTGACAAATCCTGAGATATATACGAGTCTTTTTAGAAATAGAGAAAAGAAATCATGACCATGCTGCAAGAGCAACAGGTTGGAAGGGAAACGTGTAGGGAAATGAGTGAATGCTTTCTATATGCTGTATCCAACCGCACGAGAGAAATTTTGATTTCTAAAATTTCATGATCAATTCAAGAAAGAACTCGGATATTTTCTGGAGAATGGAAAATTCTTCAAACTTCTCACGGATCCAAAAACTAGAGCATGTACAAACAATGTTTAGTAGCATAATCAAGAAACAGAAAACGGTGGGCACCCACTGTTCAATGCTAGACAGCTATCCATGTGAATTTATGTAGAGACAAAGAAACAACAAAGAACACTTATTTGATTGTATTCTGTCTAATAATGTTACTTATAACCTTCTAACGTTATTGATAACCTTAAAAATATAGCATTTTTAAAATATGGACGAACAAAAAAATCCCAACTGAAAAAAATTGATGGATATTTTGCAAAGACATTGATTCATAAATTTGATACTTTTTTGGCTCATTTTCACTTTCCTTCAGATTGAAACTTTCATTATGAAACTTATTTTTACACTGTCAAAAAATGAGCGAAACTTTCATCGCAAGCCAGACTATTGTTATCCATTTGTTTTTTACACTTCTAATAACACTTTCGAGCATTAAGCCATACGAAATAGCAAGGATTTAATAACATAATATTATAATTTTGGGGAAAGGGCACTTTTTCGACCCATCCCTTTTTGAAATTCAAGTTTGAAAGCTTTTTAACGTTGTTATAATGCAATGAAAAAAATGCATGATGAACGAACAACTATCCTGAACAGATGTTTTTCATACTTCATTCAAATCGTAACGTACAATCACATAAAACAAATAGAAATTTAAAAAAATTAAATGCGGAGGGAAGTAGGAAAGAGCCGGTGAAAATGCCTGAGCTAAGTTCAATAACATCACTTTCATGAAAACTTCTATATGAGCAATTTTTTACTCTTTACATAGTAATTTTTTGAGGGCTGGAAAAGTAGAAAAGAGCCGAGGCTTATGAATATTTGAAACAAGAGTAGTTGGCAGAAAAATGCCAGCTATGATTAATGAAAAAATCAACGACTGTTTGGAATTCTCAAAATGAGCAACATTGCGAAGACACCAGCCACCCCTAGTTCAATTGTTCGAGGACATAATTGCTTCAAACACTAGACAACCGAAGGTTTTAATTTTATTATCCCTCCACCCTCATAATTTCACAACTGAAATATCATTCTTCCAATTAGCATCAATCTTGTAAGGTACTTTCATCGGATGTCTAAGAAATCGAAAATGCCCGGAATTTGCATTTTTTCCTGCGTGAAAAAAAATTTGAAAAACGTGCAAAATGAACAATATTATACAAGATAAAACTGACGCTATCAAATTGAAAAACGATTGTCAAATGCAGATAGATGATGTATTAAATATGCATCTGTAATGAAATTAGATTCAACTGAGAAGGAAGACCGAGAGCGTCGTATTACAAAAAAGGGGGACGTCAACCTCAACTGAAAAACATAAGCTGGTTTCATGGGACACATCTATCATACAGCAAATTCACGTTACTTTTCTTTTTGTTGGTCAATTAGTACACTCCTGTTACAGTTTCTAGAAAAACCATGGTCGATTGCAACAACAATTTATTAGAGGTAAGTGCTCAAGCATGGTTTGCTAATCCTTAAATAATTAGCGGAGCTGACATAACTTGAGATAGACTAGTTTTTTTAGACAAAGAAAATTCGTGGCCATGGAGGAAAAACAAGGAATTCCATGACCATGGAGGAATTCGTGGCCATGGAGGAATTCGAAACACAAGAAAATTGTGGCCATGATGACAAAGAGCAAAAGGTTTTGGGGTAATTTGTAGGGAATTTGAATAGTTCCTAATGCTGTGTCTAGCCGCACGAAAAAAAATTTCATTCCGATAATTTAATCAGTTCAAAAAGGAACTCAGTATTTTCTAATTAATAGAAAACTTTCCCAAAAAGCAAGCAAAAATCTGAAAAGCAAATCAGTAATCTGACGGTTCATCATAGACAAAAGTAGAGGGATCCAAGAACTAAAGCAAGTACAAACAAGGTTGAATGCATGTGGAATGTCATGAAACAGAAAAAGGTGGTGCACTCACCGTTCAAGGCTACAAAGCTATCTATGTGAACTTATGTGGAGACAAGAGAGTACAAAAAGAATTATCTGGATGTATTCAGTCTCATATTGTTACTTAAAACCCTCTATCGTAAATTGGTAACTTTCAAAGCATTTTAAAAAGGCGCAAGTAAGAAAAATCAGTCCAACTGAGAAAAAAACAGCTGGATATTTTCCGTAGAAAGGATTCAGATCTTTGACACATTTTAGGACTCTCTCACTTTCAGATTGTAACTTTCATTATGAGAACTAATTGACAGTTTTTCGTTAACAAATGAAATTTTTTAAAGGAAAGCCAGACTATTCTAAACCCATTTTTTCTTACTTTTGTAATAATACTTTCGCGCAACTAGCCATAACAAATAGCAGATTTCATTTAATAATATTTTAAATTTGGGGAAATGACTTTTTTCTACCTCGCCGTGATTTGAAATTCAAGTTTGAAGGAATTTTTACGTTTCCATACTGCAATGAAAAAATGCATGGTGAACAAACTAACTATTCTGAAAATATTTCCATACATTACATCGTAACGCATAATCACGCATAACGTTTTCATACATAACATCATAGCGTATAACCACTTATAACAACTTTCAACACAAAATTTCAAATGTGAGGAAGTAGAGAAGAGCCGGTGAAACTGCCTGATCTATTTTTGGCTCTTGTCCAATCCCCATCTTTCAAATTCAACTTTGAAAAGTCTATTTAACGTTGTCATAATCCAATGAAATTTGGCGTGGTGAACAAATCGACAATTCTGAATAGAATCGTTCTTTATACTTTACAGCGTAACATCACGCGTTTAGCCGTAATAACACGTAAAACAAACATAAAACTCGGTATTTTGAAAGGGGGAACTGGAAAAGAGCCCTATTTTTTTACAACAAGGTTTGTTTCACAGTTTTATACTCTTTACTTAGTAACTTTCGAGAGCCGATGCCTTTGAAAATATTTGAAACAAGAGCATTTTGCGCGATCCTGGGCTCTTTTCCACTTTTCCCCACATTTGAATTTCAGTTTCGGAAAACTAACTTTAATTTGTCATAATGTAATGAAAATATGCACGTTGAACAACACCAACTATTATTAACCGTTTTCTTGGCTCTTTTCCAGTTCCCCCTTTCAAAATACCGGGTTTTATGTTTGTTTTACGTGTTATTACGGCTAAATGCGTGATGTTACGCTGTAAAGTATGAAGAACGATTCTGTTCAGAATTGTCGATTTGTTTACCACGCCAAATTTCATTACATTATGACAACGTTAAATAGACTTTTCAAAATTGAATTTGAAAGGGAGGAACTGAAAAAGAGCCGTTTTCTTCTTCATAACATAGATCGTAACATTACGCATTCAGCCATAATACCAACCAAGACAACTAACAAAATTGAAAGTTTGATGTGGGGGGAAGTGGAAAAGTGTCTGGCCAAATAGGAAAAACGGCTCTTTTCCAGTTTCCCCCCTCCTTTCAAATTCAATTTTGAAAAGTCTATTTAACGTTGTCAGAATGCAATGAAATTTGTCGTGGTGAACAAATCGACAATTCTGAACAGATTTGTTCTTCATACTTTACAGCGTAACTTCACGCATTTAGCCATAATAACACGTAAAACAAATATAAAACTCGGTATTTTGAAAGGGGGGGAACTGGAAAAGAGCCGGAAAAACTGTACGCTCATCACGAGGTAGCAACCTAATCACTAGGTACCAACAGTACTCCGGTGCGCTGGAACGGAAGAAGAATCGATACCTATTTTATTCATTCTTCTGCTAGACTAGAGTACAAAATTAAGCGCAAAATCAGATTGTTACTCTCTAAAATGCTGTTTCCAATGTCCATTTTGGACAACATTTACTCCGAGTTTCAGCGAAATCTTTTTCGGCTCTTCTCCAGTCCCCCCCCCCACCTTTCAAATTCAATTTTGAAAAATTTATTCAACGTTGCCATAATGCAATAAAATTTGGCGGGGTGAACAAATCGACAACTGTGAACAGATTTTTTCTTCATACTTTACAGCGTAACATCACGCAGTTGGCCGTATTAACACGTAAAACACAAAACTAGTATTTTGAAAGGGGGGAAACTGGAAAAGAGCCCTTTTTTCATAAACCAAAAAAAAATACCCTCTATTAAACTAACAAAATTTGTTATCAAAGTAATCCGGGTTTGAAAATGCATGCTTTCCTCATCTGCAGGTATTTTAGAGAGTGAAAACCAGATTTTACGGTTAATTTTGTCCACTAGTGTATATCTTCTCGCGCCGTTTGTCGCACAACCAAAAACTATAGTTTAATCTTTTTCCTTACCCCTTTTCCCTACACTTCAATTTTCAAAAACTGCTTCAACGTTGTCGGAATTGAACGAACCTTGTGGTGAACATAACAACAATTTAGGCTCTTTTCAAGTTTCCCACCACCCCCCCCCCCCCCCGCTCGTAAAATTACAAAATTAAGCTGTTCAAAAAATGTTCACACGGCATTTTGAATGGAAAAAGTTTCTTCATTTGTTCACGGTAACACGTTTTAATGCTGTTTATAACATGAAAAGTCATTTCAAAAAGACTTTCATAATTGAATTTCAGAAAAAATCAGGGGGAAGAACTGGAATAGAGCCACACTTTGGAAACGATTTAGTCTTTATACCTTACATCAAAACTTCCTGCGTTTGGCTGTAATAACAAGTAAAACAACTATAAAATAGAAAACTTGAGAGGGGGCAAGCTACGAAATTCGGTGCTAGCGAAAATCAGAAGCGGACTAGGAAAAGAGTAAAAATTAAGTTCACGGCAAAAGGAAAGCCATTTTGACTACTCAACTCAACTGACCTTTTGGCATAGTCTTTGTTTCATTTTCACCATTCCCGTTTCTTCTTCATTTATGACAGCAATAATAACACAACACTGGACAACTGACTACTAACGAACAGAAACAACTAGCGGTTTACAGGTACAGGTTATAACAGACAGGCTGACTAGCTATAACTGGAGAGTAGACAACGGTTAATGGAAAGTGACAAGTCAAACAGCAGACAATCCAAGAACTCTTTAGGACTTTTAAAAAAAATAGAAAAATGGGACTGTTCAGAATTATGCGTTAATAAAAAACAATTTCAGACAATGATTTCCTACAGCTAGCGTGAAAAAAATATTGGGCATATCGTGATTTTAAAAAATCATGAGCAGGATAGCGTGAACAAAACATTAGCGTGAACAAGACAGCGTGAAAAAAAATATTACGTGGACAGAGAAGCGTTAAGAACAATAAGCATGATCAGAATTGCAGGAAAAAAATTATTTGTCAAAAATACCCTGCGAAGGTGATGGGGGAGGGAGTTAAATGTAAGGTTACGATTTGAATAAGGAGTGTAAACTTCCAAATGAATAAACATTTTGTCTGCTGTTTGCCAAGTAAATTTAATATTCAATTCAAACTGTATTTCGGCAATAACAAAATATAACTTCTTTCTTCTCTTGTCTTGTAATTTTATTTTATTCTCTCTTGGTTTTCCAAACACATGCGAAGACGCCAATCACGTCAATTTCCAGCATTAAAGAGCATGAAAATAAATCAGATCCACAAAGCAACACAAAATGACTCACTTAGCTAGCAAATTCATTCAAAACCCATTCAATGAAATAAAACAAACACGTGCGCTTTTGATTCAACACAAATTTAAATAGGTATTTTTTCTGCCTGTTCTACTCTTCTATCATTTTCCCCTTCCTCGAAAAGTTTTCACACAGAGGCGAAGCATCACTTGAACCATTAAAAAAAACATCTAATTTAAGTTAGAAAAAATGAAAAATATTGCAAAAAAACTAGATCTACAATAAATTTCGTTCGTCTAAATAGAAGTTCATTCTAGGCAAACATGCCAAGCAAAACAATTGAACATTAAATTAGCATTGGAACAAAACTTACGAATCGGAAACAAAGCGAACAATTTTTGAGCGGACACCAGTTGAGTCGAAAAAATGAGTTCGTAAAAAGCGTGGCATGATACTACAATGAGAAACACTTGCGACTATAATGAAAATTGCTTACAGCACAAGAAAAACTCGAGATGTGGCAACTAAGCCGACAAACCTGAGAAAAACAAGAGTCCGACAATTCACTTTTTAACGGAAAAAAATCAATTTCATGCTGTACGAAAACTTTTGCAATGTGACTGTAGTTCAATTGGTTTTGTTAACTTGGGTTGCATCACGAAAATTGGTAGTATTTTTAAGGCAATCTTTGTAAGCAAAAAACTGAAGTATTTCAATGTTTGATCGCTCTAAGAGCTGAGCAAAAATGTTTTCTTAACGTTTTTAGCAATGTCAATCAAGCAATGAAAATTTTCAAGCTGCTTCGATGGATTCAAATATAGTTGACAGCTTGAAATGATTGGCTGTATTTTTTTTCAAGCAAAAAGATTATGGGACCCAATTTCCCACATTTCAAGTTGTTTTATAGTCTTATTTAGATCACGAAGTCTTTTAAGCTAGCAATTCATGTCGAAACGTTGAAAATGGTAAGCTTCAAATCGTTGAATAACAATTAGTTTTCTAAGTTATTAGATAGCTTAAAATAGTTGGCTAAACAACAATTTATTTTGAAGCAACTTATCAACGGATTTACTTTCAAACCTTAGAATTTCGACGACAACTTAAAAGGATTTGCTCAAGTTTTTTTCTTTGTTACTCGTCTTCCGGAGACAAATGTTTTCGAATAAGCCAGATTCACTAACGTAAAACGCGTTCGCATAGATCCCTTTCCACACCAAGCACAAAAAAACGACACTTATTGAATTGAGAAAACATTTTTTAAGTTCGTGATCCGAACGTTCTGCGGTACTTGAACAGTAACCGGCTATCCGTGTTCAAACAACATTTTTACGGTTTCACATCCATCTATTTGGTCGCTAAACAAAAACAAACAAATTTACCAAAAAACTAATATGACATTTTTAAAAAATGACTAACACCGAAGTCAACCGTTTGATATCAGATATTCAACTAAATAATTCCTAAATTTGGTTAAATGTCGAAATGAAGCTTATTGTGCCTACCATATGAAAAATGGGAAGGAACTTTGTATTCGGGTGTTTTTACTTTTTTTCTGTTTTCCACACAAAATCAGCTACCACAAATGATCATCGGTGAGAGTTGAGTGACATATCATATTAAAACCCTTACAGTAGTGATTCGAGAGACATTTAAAAATTTCAAAAAAAAAGAGCGAATAAAGCGAGCGAGCACGCTTACAATAGCTTATTTTAATGACTTAAAAGCTTTCAATAGTCGAAACGTAAACAGCTAGTTTTGCCGTGGTAAATTTAGGGTTTTTTTTCAGTATTTCAACGCCTTTTTAAAAAAAAACTCCGAAAAATGAATTTTTTTGCTTTTCTAGTCAGTCATTAACCCACAAAAATGGTTTCTCAGTTTGCTTATTTTACTATGACTGTCGAATATGCCTAATTTCATTTTTCATTCAGCTCCTTTTATCACACCACGCTGAAAATAGCGACACTAGTTTGAAAAATCTTTTTGTTATTTTTTTTAAGTAAAGTACGTGCGCATTAACCTACCTGCACAGTAACCGGCTATCCTTGTTTCAAACACCGTTTCGTCTAATTTTGGCCTTAGAAGACCATCTAAGGGGTGGATCTAAGATTATCTCGCGGGGGCGTATTTTCAAAAACTTTTCGAATATTTAGTCCATATTTTTGTTAGCTCGACCAAATTGATTTTCCGAGCGCGCCCAGAACACTAAAAAGAATATATTTTGAAAAATAAATTTTCAACCGCATGCAAATTTTTGAAAACAGTTCAAAAAGCCTTCTTAGGGCACTTTTTGGAAATTTTTGACTACAAATTGCGCACGTTTTTTTCGCGTGCTGTACCCTTCAAAATTATTCTTTTTTGGCCCCTTTAGAAAAAATTTAGGGTTGCTCAGCCGAAAATGGATTTCTTAAAATAATACTAAAGAGACCCTTTTGCTTGGTGAGGAGGTCAAATCCCTGAAGTGGGAGCATCCTCTTCGCTTTCCCTCCCCCCTTAAAACCGCCCCTGAATTGTAAATTTGAATAATACACACATGGAACGAAGCAGGAGCTAATTGTTAGGAAACGCATGCTTCGAAAAATCCTGAAACGATTTTTTCTACGGAAAGTATACAGCCAACATAGTATTCGTGAGAAAACAGTTAACTAGCTGCGCGGAGAGCTCGCTTTGCTACTTTCTGTCTGCATGGAGATTTGTGAAAAAAACTGCTGTAATATCCCAACTTTTGGATCCCTGGTACATCCTTCTCAGTTCAACATTTAGATAGTATCATAGGGTGCTTTCGTTGAGTAGATCCCAATTTTATTTGCTTGATCTTCCTTTGAAAATCAGTGAATACTCAAATGATAATTACAATTTGATCAATTGACGCTTTTAATCCTAGGTAGACTTTGATAACATTTTTTTAAAGGCGCCAGTATATACTTATTTTGAGCCACAAAAACGCAAATTTCTTGGTCATAATTTTTCAAAGTGCCCAAAAACGGCATTTTTGACCTTTACTTTGTGAGGGGGTCGAATCCTTGTGAGGGGGTCAAATCCGTGGGTATGAATAAAGTTTTTAAAAAAACCTTTATTCCTTGGAGTGATTACTCAGACTAACTAAAAAAAACAATGATGCAGCATTTTTTCTTTCAAAACTATGAGAAATACTTTTGAAATATAAACTTTCCACAAAATATACAATTTCATTGTCAATTCACAAATAGCACTTTAATTAATTTACTAGGTTGTTTTAATTAGATTTGGACGAACTATTACAAATATTGTTATGACTACTATTACTATATCGACTTCGCTTATCCTCATAATTCTGAAGGATCTGAATACTGTGATATATTTTCAAAGCGGGCCCTATTTTCACTCCTAGTAACTTGACAATATCTGATTGTGTTAGAAGTAGAAAAGCTTCCCCGTCTATTTGTTCTTTGATGAACACTTGTCCGTTGCAGCTCGGAATAGAATCGACGAATGTTCCTACCTCTTCAGGTGTCCAGCGTGCGACTGGATTTTCGGTTCTTTTGACCTAAACTTTTCGAATTAGTTTAAATATCATAACTAATATTCAGAAAAACATTCGAACAAATGTTTTATCCAAGCCAATCTGACTTTTAAAACGTTAAAATTCACAGAAAACTGTTACAAAAAGTGTGAACAGCTTAGCTTGGTAGTATAATCGACAGTTAGAGACCAATAAAACTAGTTACCTATCGATCTGAAAAAATCTTGATTCGTCAATAGAAACTTCGATTAGGTTTTATATGGTTCAAATATTGAAAACTTTCAGAATTTTTTCCGCTCTAACGCTTTCTAATTTGCTAAATTATATTGTTGAAATATTAGGGCGCAATTTTTTGTGATAAAGCTAATCGATTTTGCTAACAAAAGCAATCTGACTTTAAAAGCAATCTTAATTTCTGGACCAAGGAACTTATTAAGAAAGTTAATGGGTACCCAACAGTGGATCTTGCAAGTGTAAAACAACTTCAAAAAGTAATACGTGAAGTTGACTTAAAACTTGCTTCTTGAAAGTTATTTCAATTTTCTAATCCAGTGATCTTTTTTTTCGTTTTTCTTATTTAGTTAATAAACCCCACCCCCACTCCTCCTCCTATGCTGCAAGGGGGAACTTGTACTAAATTCGTTAAGTGCAACACTCACTTCACACATTCTTCCTGGAGCTTCCTAACTAGGTACCACATGGAGAAAAGGGAGAACATTTAACAAGATATACGTTTTTAAAGATGCCTAAATGGTTAAAACTTGGTTCTTACTGTCGGCATCAACTTGCGCTTATGCTTTGAACACAGTCCTAACTCTGTATATCTTCCTTCTAATGGGAGGCCAAACACTGAATTATAGATCGCCCGCTCTAACAAATCTTCATTTTGGTCAAAATCAGCTCGATTTCCACCACAACAAAAACGAGGTTTTCTTGGTTTTTCAATAAACTGAGTTTGCTTAACACCAGCAACTGTGCTAGTTTTCGTTTTTACAAAACTTTCGGTTATCAACTCATTTGAAGTTGACGCTTCTTTGTTTTCAACTTTCAATGATTCTGTCTCCTCGTCAGGTGGGCTATCTTTTACTAAAATTTGTTCAATTTCAGGTTCTGTTATTGTTTTGCTACTCTCAGTTTCGGTGTCAATTTTTGTAACACTTTCGTCAGTAATTAGCTCAGCTATCCTTTCCGACTCATTTATGGGCCTGTTTTGATTTTCTGTAGCTGTTATAGAACCACTTTCTTCTTTAAAACTTTGACTCGAAGCCTCATCGTGCAAACTTATCGGTTCTTCTTTGTTCAATAACTCCTTTTCCGCTTCAATTGCAAGATCTTTTTCGACTTTAGCATGAATTTTAATCTCCGATTTAGAATTACTATTACTGGTGACTAACTTTTCTTTAGTTTCTAAGTCAATTTGCGGCGACAAACTCGAATTAGTTGAGTTTGAACTAGTGGGTGAGTTTTTATTCGGAGAATGAAGTTGGGTCAACCTATCCGGAATTTGAAGTTTGCTGGTGGAGTACGGGCATCCAGAACCATTATGATGAGTCAGAAATCTTGGACCCTTGACGTGACCTTGACCCCGACAATATTGAGTCGGACATGATGAGCCTTGAGCTGGACCAAGGAACTCATTTGGAGGGGTTAATGGGTACCCAACAGTGGAGCAAAAATTAGGAGGGTAAATTTCTTCAGAATCGGAGTCGACCCAAAATGCGAAATCTTCGGACCAACTGTCCATTTGAAGTTTTAACCTGGCTATAGATCCATCTAAATGGAAAATATCAATAATTGTGCAAACACGGATTAGAATTTGATTCCATTGATCAACCGCTTCAAGCTTACAACCTTTCTCAAATTTGAGCTCAGGTGCTTTTTTGAAGTAGAAGTTTGGAAGCGGCTCTAGTTTAGATTGTTTTGTCAACTGACAATCGTTGAAAGCAAACCCTTTATCATGTGACCACCCGAAAGGTTTGATACAAGGGGAAGATAGATTGAACCATCGCTGTTCCGAGGGAGAAATGGAAACTGACAAAAACTCGACTAAAATATAATCACCAATGTTCTCTTTCACTAATGCTGGCTGCATTTCATTCGATTTATTTAGCGCTTCGATAAAATAATTACAAGGCTCAATTTCAGATGAAGGCACAAATTGGAAGCAATCGTCTGTAGCCAAAGTTGAGGCTCCAACAAGGGCACCGTATTCGTTCCAATCAGAAGTTGTATATCCTTTCGGTAGCTCCAATCTTTTTCCATGCTGTTTGCACCAGTTTACAGGAAGGAGAAAGTGACTGTTTGCATTGCAGATAAAATCATAACAAGGTGCAAAGCCGTCAAAATTCATTCTCAGACGAAACGATTTCCTTTCCATCACTGTCACAATGCAGAAACTTGAAGGATTTTTTGGATCTACGGATTCCAATTTCATGCCTTCTTTGAACTTCAAAGAAACTGAGACGCTTTCCATGCAGCGAGGGAAACATTCTGTAGGGCAGCCTCTAGCAGCTTGTGTGACAAGATATTTGTCCCATGAAAATCCGCGGCGTTTCTTATGAATTCTTCGAGTTTTAATTTTCTTATCAACATTTCCTTTATCTTCACTGACTGGTGCCTGGTCAGTTAAAGCATCACTAAAGGACTCTTCAACAAAATCAGCAGCTTTAAGAGCTAAGTGATCGGAAAAATCATCTGTCATGATTATGTTCTCTTATCATCATCAGCCAAACCTCAACTCTAGAAAACAGGTTGCAAAAAGTAAGCACAGGCAGTTGTGTGAGCAGAAAAAAAATACACTTTATTCATTTAAAATCATAGCTTAAATATGATGTTAATCAAATAACATCTACCAATAAAATGAATTACAACAAATTTGTTAATTGTCACATATATTCAAAATTATTCCACCTTCCATAGGCTGCCACTGTTTTATCATCTAGGTTATCAAAGTTTATGAAAAAGCATCCTAAGCTAAAATTAATTGTATTTTCTCGTTTGCTGTTCCAAATTGGTAGAGCTCCCATAAAATTTAATATTATATTGCTGTTTGAAGATTAGTTCTGTCGATAATGTTCACTTATTTGATGATTTGGATAACCTAAATTGATTTAAAATGTTAACATTTTAAAATAAACTTAAGTTTAAGCACATTTTCAGTGCATCTTAAGGTTTAAAAATCTAACTTTTTTCAACTTTCTTATGATTTACAGAAAGATCGAAATGTAACATTCGACCAGAATGGCGGTCAAAATGCATGACGATATCGAAACTTTATTGATAGCAGCCGAATGGGAAAATTGGCAGTTGTGATGATTTAACGATTAATCGTTCAAATTAACGAATTGGTAGAGGTCAATTCGGAGTGACAAAACAACTTTCAAAATTTCGATTTGTGCGTGCATGACAACAATTTTAAATTTCGCGAATACTGAAAACCGCAATAATCAGAACAACGATTTTCGCTAAGAAAAGCAAGACGTACGAGAAATTATAGCGAACGACAGAAGTATAGTTGACGACACTTACGGAAGAACATTCTGAATTGTATCTGTACAATCAGAACCGAGCAATTCCCGAGAAAACGGAGGGCATGCGGGATGAGTTTACTACATTTCCAGAAAGACGACAAGACCGCTCTCGTCCGGATTCGAGAATCCGGAAGGTCCTCGGAAATAAACTAAAACTATTTTTAACAACTTTTAGCTTCCGATACAATTTGTACCTTTAGCTGAAATGAATCCTTGTCGAGGGAAAGGGTTGTTCCATCTCCGATGGAAATGATGATTTTTATCTACTGAACAAAAATAATAGTTGTATGATAATAAGTAGTAGTAAGAAATTAAAAATGTTAATTCAAACGTTCTCGCACATTTTTTGCAAAATCAGGATTAAAATTTTTTACAATATTTACAAAATGATCAAAGATCTGAAAAATGAGAAACATGTTTAAAAAAAATCTAAAATTTTTTAACCAATCAAATTTGATTAATTGTAATTTCATAATATAATTACGTAATCATGAATAATATTTTCCGGTGAATTTCTGAGATTTTTTAGTTTTTGGTTTTTTCATGGTTATAAAATTTCAATTTGGAAATATTTTTGATTCTGACATGTCAGTTTTTTAACATTTAGCCATGTTATACAGAGTATAATTTTAGTGTTAATTCCCGGCTTCTGAGTTCATCGCGTGTGTTGATCTTCGGCCTCTCCGTCCAACTATGCAAAGCCTCTCGTGTCAGTAGCTTATGAGCGTTGGCTGTTTGGTCTATAATCTCTGTTTTCAGCTCAGCAGTACCGCCTACCTCCTTATTACATTCTAACAAGTGTTGTCATACTGGGAAGTCCCCTTTGCGGTGTTCATCGACCCTCGTGGCTAAATTTTGGACTGTCTGGTCGACATAGGTGGAGTTACATCCACTACATGTAAGCTTGTACACCACTTTGGATCTGAGTTCAGGAGCAAAGGAAGTTTTGAGGGATGGCAAGCATGTTTTCCCTTTTTCTTAAAATAAAAAATTATTTGTGCCCCGGATATTAGCCGAAACTTTGCAGCTAACAGTTGAGATGGTTTACCCCGATATATCATTGTAAGAAGGGGTGGTGAGTCTTTCAACCATTTATCATTTCTCGGTTCTGATGCCTTCACCTCTAAATTTTCTTTCCCTCAATGATCTTGTTAAGAGTTTCAAACACTAACCTGTCAGACCAGTTTTTCGGATATTGATTTTCAATCCATCGCTTCCTTTTTTTTCCAATGCCTGGTCAAAATTTTCACATGTTGAGGTACTTCTGAAAACCATATGAACCGTCCCTTCAATAACGTTTCTTTTTACTGCAAAGGTGCGCAGCCTCTGAAATTGAGAATGGTGCCGGTATCAGTGGGCTTTTGGTACCAACCACATGTGACCATTTTTCCTGAATCCACGTTGACATTTAAGTCCAAAAAGGCCAAAGTACCGTTACTATCAAGTTCTTCTATGGTAAACTGCAAGTTTGGATGCAACTTATTGGCAGCCTCGAGATCTACCCCAGGATCGCCCTTGACCGTTCTAACTATGTCGTCCACATATCTTAGAAAAACTTAACAACCATTCACAGTCCGATCTGCCTCCTGTTGTTTTTTGCAAGCCATGCGATACCATACTCTTTCAGCGATGTCGGCGTATTCGGATTGCGATATGTTACCACACCCTAAGTGGTACCAATTCAAACAAGCTCCGCATTCTACCCTTTTTGTCAGATATGTCACCTTTTTCTGACATCTAGGGCACACTTCCTTGTTACCCTCACTTAGCACAGTCAATTTTGATAATTCTTTCTTTAATGCAGGTTCGTATTTTTTGAGCCATAAATTGGTCAATATTACTGCAAGAGAGGCGCCCATTGCTAAACCGTCGTTTTGTTAATACCACAAACCATAGCATTTAAAGTGTACCTTACTCACTGCCAAATTCAGTAGTTTTTTCATAGTCTTGCGAGATGTTTCCGGAGGTTTGACTTGCTCATATAATCTCCTCAGTGCTATTTCAACCGCTTCCTTGAGCGGTACATTAAGGTAAAAACTCTTTACATCAGGGGAGAAAGGACGGGACGAAGTGGTGTGTCTTGTTTGTGTACTTTGCTAATCCATACAGCCTAGCCGGCTGCGCTCCAGTTGATCTCAACCTAGTATACAGCGCTTCGCTAATCTCGTACTTCTTTTTCATGGCGAGTAATTCTTTGTTTATGTCTTTTTCAATTTTCATAATAACGCTGTCAGTCAGATTTTTCCTCTCAATAAATTGTTCTGCTTGTAATAAATCTTTCAGTTTTTTCATATGCCTCCTCTTTCATTACACAAAAACCCACCCCCTTATCAAACGGCACTGCCAGAGGACCGTTGTCCTTCAAACACTTTCTGGCTTTTTCAACACCTTTGTCAGAGGGGGTCTATTTTACATTCTTAGCATATCTCTTTGCAGCTGCTTCAATCTCACATAATTTTTCTCCGGGTTTTCTATTTAACTTCAGTTTAGACAAAAACTATCAATGTCAGCAAGGAAGTGAATTTCTAAAGACTTCCCTCAACCAAAGCGGCAAAATCACAGCATCTAAATTTCTAGCTGACCTTTCATCCAAGTTTTTTAATGGTCTATTCTGTCTTTCCGAAAGTTTTTCAAGCTTTCTCTTGTGTCGGCTTATCAGGTTAATGACACTACACCTTGCTTGCCGGTTCAGACAGAAGCATTTTTTAAGGAGCGACCTCGTGGTCTTGGGATACTGAGACCTAGCCATCAGATCACTATTTTTGCATGTAACTAAGATAATTTACGCAATCTGAACGATGGTCCAAAATAGTGATTTTTTTTTACTTTTCTATTTGTTGTTGTTTCAGTTTAATTTATGTCGATCCTGATTGAAAGATCAAGTATTTTGTTCGTTAGTTTGGTACCCTCACTTGAGTGTTTTTTGAGTATTTAAGCACGTTAATGATAATTTGGCAGGTGACCGAAGGTTAGAGCCGCAAGCGGACAGACGTGCTCCAGACACAGCAAAAGACAACAGGGACAACATCCATAACGACTGTTGGGTATCGTTAGCACAATTTTAGTATCGTTCGGGAACACTTTCAATAAACTTAGGTGTTGGGGGACACAATTGGACCGGTCCGACTGTACCCTCCATCGATTGCGATGCATTATTCGCCCAGACATTTCAGTGACGTTGCGTAGAAAAAGTACCTATTGACGACTGGCTGACGTCAGTTACCCTAATTCTGCTTTTATTTTCAACCGTTTTGACCTAACCAGTTGCTTTTTTGCTCTGTTATGGGATAAGTATTAATTTACCATTTTTAGGCCATCAGCGAAACGACTTTTGATCAGCTTTCGTTTACACGCAAAAACAACCACACAGCTGGGTCTCGTGAGTGCTATTAAAAAATCATTACTATGTTAGAAAATCAAAACTTAATGTTTTTAGTGACAGTTATTTACTAAGTTCATTAAAGATGGATGAAATTTTTCCTTGACTCTAACTACTTATGCTCTGAAGTACGAAATTGTGCCAGTCGGTCATATTTGGCATTTGACCTTGATTTGGAAATTTGACCGTGATTTGGAAGTTAAACTTTGATTTTGGGCACAAAAGTAAATTTTCAAAACTTCGAATCGACCATGTCATGCTCAATTTCTCGCGACAACTGAAAATCGGAAGTAAATTTTCTCAGAAGGAAAAAATCAGAATTGCGGGAAAATTGATAAGAATCAGTCAAGAGTAAAATTGCTGCTGGCAATTTTACCGCAACCAACAACTCGAGCAGAGCTGTCTTGTTCCTGATAGAGAGCAGCGCGAGGTCTTGCGAGAGTATCTTCGTTGGGCGAGAGAAAACCTTGACTGAAAAGGTGGACAGCCGAAGCTGCCCAATGGTTCAGAAGATTAAACTAAATAATTTAAAACTACTTATTGCAGAAAACTTCTGGAGTTGCTTTACTTTTATCATTTACTTATTTCTAGAGTCACATCACTATCTGACTAGCTAATTTAATTTTTTTGAGTGCAATTTGTGTGATTATGTTGAGATAAGACGAGTTTTAGGTTGATCCATCGGAAATGAATCAAAGGTTCACTGTCTAAGAAAGCTAATAGTATACTAAAGCTTTTGAATCAGTTTTTATTGGCGTTCACTTGTTTTGAGTATCTAGAGGACTAGCTATGGGGGTAGTCTGATTTCTAGAGTGGGGGCTTTTTTGGTGGTGGATTT